GTACGTATGTATCATAGAAATTCTTTAGCAGCGGAAACTAAAAACCTTTATCTTAGAACCCCAACCAGTTTTTCGGCTCCCCATATTTTTTTTACCCAGAATGCGCCAGTCCAGTTAATCTCTTTTTGGCGGTACAGATAACGGAGGCATGAGAATTAAATTTTCCCAAAAGGAGCTAACAGCATTTTGTTGATTTTAACATTGTGCTATTTATTTAATCTTTCATAGGCAACTGGAAATTTAATCGATTCAATTTCTTACAAGAAAACGAATGTTCATTGAATGTAAAACGAATTATCAGTTTTCTGCACAAAAATAATTTACACCATCTTAGCAACATTGCTACGTAACTAGTACTTTTTTGCAAAGTACTATCCAAATCATTCTCTTTTAAATTCCAACTTGCAAGGTCTAAACCAGACCGAAGACCCATGTTGTCTTTTATCTCAACTTACCCTCAATTTTACGAAAAATATAGTTAACACAACGGGAATCTCGGATATTGAATCTTGAAGAGTAACGAATGAGTGTTTTAAATATAGATCAAAATGGTAGTTAAACCATAAAAATGTCGTCCTTTGTATATTTCCCGTCTTTATCCTGTACATAAAAAACTATCAAACGTTATTTCCGGAAGGCCTCTGTCATTTGTGTTCTCTCTGTGATGAATATCTGTGAAAATCTCAAGCCGTGATGTTGGTCGGGTCTCCCTTTAAAAAGAAAAGTGAGAGCGAAGATTTTGAAACACTGCAACCGAGATACGCATTTCTGCAGTTTAACCATCGATATCTTAACCTCAATGTAGCCATGTTTTGTCAGGAAAAGTTGCATGTATACTTCATTTGAGTTTAAGTGGATGGTAGTGTAATTTTCCAACACTATTTTAACAATGTTCTAGTTTTTAGTCGTTTACTTCATTTTGGTGCCAAAAGAGAGCGTAAAACTATACCTATTAAAATCCCGAAATTGTATACCCTCAATAGGACAAATCAGAATTTCAAGCCGCCTCCTTTTAAAGTACGTTTTTCAACTGAAAAATCCAAACCAGCATATGTGCTGCGACACGTACTTTTCGGGATTTTGTCCCGGAATCCTCGGTATACTCATTTAAGCTATAGAATGAATGACTTAATTTTGAGTTTTAACAGTCCCTCTTTTTGACAACCGTCACATTAAGAGTTTTGGCAAAAGGAATCTGCTCTAGACAAAAAGTCAAAATATTACCTTCTGAACAAAGTTGTGCCGTTTGCTTATCGATTGGTTCATATTTTTTTCATTTAAAATACTAACTACTACATAATTCCACTCTTTATACGGAGTCATAAACGTTAAGCCATCTCGTAGCAATTACCAAACTTCAACAAAACATAATGATAATGAGGCATTGCCGGTCGCTTATTCCATGTACTCCTCGTGTCTTTTTAATACAAAATTACCAAACATACAGCTTACATTTGGATGTACACTACTTTTTACTAGATTTACAACTAGATTTCTTAAGATTTAACAAGTGTTGGTATTAGACACTTACCCGAAGCAGTGATCATTGATTGTACAACTGATTTAAAATGGCCGAAGTGGTAAGATTTATCAATTTTTATAAGAACTGGATTGAACCGCGTGAATACGGAAATAAGGGATACCTAAGGGGTAAACCTCGTTCTTTGGCTTTTGTGTTCTTTGCCAATCACGTTGAATCAAAGAATTTGCCATGATTTGTTTTATATACATCCCTGTAACGTGTCTACAGTGGCTTGTGTTAGGAGCACCGCTCCGATCCTTATAATTTGGAAATTGACTAAGATTTCTTCAAAATTGCTCCTTTTTAGTTTTTTCGGACTACCTGAAATTCCTCCTTTTTGCTCAAAATCGCGCGGTAGCCTCTCCCTAAATTGAAGGTCCCTAACGTTAGTGTTTGTCTCCTTAGTAAATTTCTCGCTTGGAAGAAGTCAGTCGGAACTTGTTAGGACCGTTGAGAACTTTTTGACAATCCATGTCCATTGTGATGGACAAAGCCAGTCAATCGACTCAAATATTCAAGTGAGACATATATAGGAGAAGGAGGGCGGTGCTCATCCCCTGAACACCCCTCCCCCCTTCGCCTCTCAAGAAAAGATTGGTCTCCCAATTAGAAATGTGTAGGTATCGAATTTTAGATTTTCCAAAAAATTGGATTTTTCACACTTTTTATTAAAACCGCTGCATGAATGATGCATGCAAGGTATTATGCTCCCATCTTCAAAGGAGAAAAACAAGAGCGCAGCTATTCGAACTTCAGAGTAGGTATGCGGGATCCTGCAAAACTGGAAAGCCCGCTTTTTCTGGGGTTTTGAGATGAAAATATTCTGTTAATCTATTTTCTTATACAACCGCCGGAAAAATCGCATAAATGCCACAACATAGAGTTCCAAAACCTTAATTTTCCCCGGTTTTAAAGCGTATATGCCACGATATTGATGCGAGTGACGAGTAATTTTAAATTATTTTACGAAACCGGTGGTAAAATTGCGTATTTCCTGCGTTATTGCGGTGACCATCCCCTTCCCCCATTTTTGAAAACGAAAATTCGTGGAGAACACGTGCATTTTCCGCAATGCCGAGATGAAAAGCGCGCAATTTCGTAGGATTCAACGAATCCCCGGGAGAAATTCGCGTAATATCTCACTTTCAAGCAGCAAGTATCAAGCGAGCAACTATTCGAACTCCGGAGTAAGTATGTGGTAGTACGCGAAATTGAAGGATACTCATAGCGCTCCGCCTATCTGTAATTACTGACATTTATGAAAATTGCGCTCACATCGTTGTAAGAACCGCGTATTTTCCGCGATATTGAGGTAAAAATCGTGTGTTCATTTGAGCTCTTAATCTACCACGGGAAACTTTACTTATAAGTCGCGCTATTGAGGTGAATTAAGAGTAATTTCTCAGGATTTTTAAAAGAAACGCAACGTAAGACGGAAAAGTTTCAGTGAAGCAGATCAAAGTCCAGGTTTTTTTTTTTTATTTTCGTCACGGATATGTTTCTTATTGTCACTCTCGTGACTTGAGTGCGTACTTTTCTTTCAAGTGAGCCTCGGAAAGCATAGAGTCATATGGAGAACAGAACTCATGTGGAAATTAAGATCCGTCTCTTCCATTTACGTCGTGAGAGGAGGAACGCCTCTCATTAACTTGAAGAGCGGGCCGAAAATGCGTTACTTCCTCCGCCGCGGCACTATAGTCGAATAGCGCCTTCTGTTGTTGCGGATGCAACACGGAAATCCACGGAGCAGTAATAGTCGCACTCAATCGTTGTCATTTAGAAAGCCGGAGCGCATTCATTTATTGGTGATTGTATACCGATATTGACTTTGTGCAGGGTTGAATCACCGGGAAAACCGGGGATTTTTTATCGGTCAGTGGCTTGAGAAATAAATGTCATTTTTTGTGTAAATGTAGCGTAATTGAGCGGAGCTCAGAACATTTCTCACCATTTTTCGCCCGATGCGGGATCTCGGAACAAAGGTGCTTTTAAATGGTGAAAATGGACCGTCCTGTGACATTCGTGGATAGTAATTCCCTTTGAAACGGATTCATACAAACAGATCCACGTATGTTTGGTTATAGCTCTCCTAATACTTTGTTGATTTGAATTTTAAGTATATTATACGCTTGCAGCTCGCTAGCTATGTGTATTCAATGTCAACCTCTGCTACAATTGCTCTGCCCATTGCGGAGGGTATCAGGGACCAATTTTCAAATCAACAGTCTTTGCCCTCCATCGTATGTTTGACGTTTAACACGAAATATTTTGCAAAAACACTATTTGTATCGTGTCTACTTTAACTGAACCGCATGTCCTCAAATATCAAGGGATTTTGTCTCAAGTCAGAGAAATCAGGAAAATGTCGACAGATGTCATCCTCTGAAATTAAGGTGATTCGATGGACGCTATATTTTGTGTCTGAACGGCATGCGATATATCGCATCAATTGGTTCAATTTTTTCAGCTACTTGTCATTTTTCTCCAATTTTGAGATCGCAATACTGTTGTCAGGAGACTTAAGCACTCACGTACCAATTTTAACAAAGAAATTCAACGTAATAAAGGCGTGGTTTTTTTAGAGAGAAAATATCGCATTCAAGTGCAGTTTCGATATCAGTATCGAATGCGATGTTTTCTCTCTAAAAAAAAACCACGCCTTTATTACGTTGAATTTCTTTGATAAAATTGGTGAGTGCTTTAGTCTCCTGACAACAGAATTGCGATCTCAGAATTGGAGAAAAATGACGAGTAGCTGAAAAAATGGAACCAATTGATTTGATATATCGCATGCCGTTCTGACACAAAATATGGCGTCCATCGAATCACCTTAAACGGTTGGAGGACGAGATAAAGAATCGAATCTCGGAGAAAACACGCGCCCATGGGATATGCAAAATTCACTCCTAACTTAACAACTTGCTTAAAAAATATGTGTATTTATAAAATCAGAGTTCTCAGCCTTCAAAGTGTACTACGTCAGTTGATACTGATGAATCCCATTTAGTTGAACGTACATATGTATATTTATTGCATTGTAATTATTCCTTTGCCGTTGTATACTTTCTAGGAGGAAGCTTAAAAGTGCGCATATTTCTCCCGCAGAAACTCAACTCAAAAGAAAATGTTAGACTTTCTTGTTTTGACCTCCAAGAGGCATCAACCATCCTCGAGCTCTATGTTTTGTCGTTGCTGGCCGCTCCTCCAATAAGCTTCTCATTGAAGCTGTAGCTGTAAGCGTGAAAGCTTGTAACTAATATTTTTTTATCCGAACTTGTCATTACATTGCAAGGATGAATAAAATTTCAATCTTCCAAAGCTTAGTTCTAGCTGAGTGTGGTTTTGTTTGCTTCTGTTGAACTCTGTCTGTTTGATTTGTAAAAAGAATATGCTTTTTACACTTTTTTTTCATATTAATGCCTAGTATCTCATTTATGAATAATTATCGACTACAGTTCATAAATTTGTCTCTGTCCAGGACTCTGACCCCACCAAACGCACGGATTTTCAATGGAAGATCAGCAAGGACAGAATCTTAGTCATTGCATCGGCTAAGAAGTGTGAGGAGAAACTTCTAGACGCATTCCCAGAGGATGGCGGAACTGAGTTTTTGAAGGACGAAATATCTGCCCCGGGCCCTTCTTTTGGGAAAGATGGCTGGTCCCTTCATGTTGCAGCCCTAACTAAAGTCGTTAAAGACGAAGCGACTTTTGCCGGCGGGGTTGATTCATCGGAACAAATTCAAGGAATTCCATCCGGTTCTCCGTTCGATTTAAACAATCGAATTAAAACTGAAGCAGATACAGAGGATAAAGATTTTGTCAACGCGTTACACACCAGTATCGAGATAAAAGATGAGGATCCTCTGCAATGGCAAGAATACCCAAATATCTCTGTGACTCAAGATTCACGGCGTCCGTCGAATTTTTGTACTCGAAATACGGTGTCTTATGGTCATATCAGCGCGACTGAAAATGGAAGCATGGAAAACGACCCGCTTTTTACCCAATTACTATCCAGGAATCCAGAAGGCAATACAGTTTCTGAATCTGGCAGGGTGACGCCTTCAGAAGAAGTTAAAAAGACTATCCTGAATGCTGCTATCGACAAAATTACTCATATTACAACCGGAAAAAGTGTAAAATGTGATAATCATGGAGATCCGGAACACGCGATCCATGTTCAATGTGATCAAGAAGTTGCGACTGACGATACTGGGAAACAATCAAATTACAATCATTGCTTCGCATCTGTTTCTGAAGAAAACAATTTTAAGGAGCACAGATACACACGTACAGGTGAGAAACCGTTCGCTTGCAGTCATTGCTCTGCATCATTTACTCAAAAAGGCCATTTAAAGAGTCACATGCGCACACATACTGGTGAGAAATTCAGTTGCAGTCATTGCTCCTCATCTTTTACTCAAAAGTCATCTTTAAAGTGTCATATGCGCGCACATACCGGTGAAAAACCATTCAGTTGCAGTCATTGCTCTGCATCATTTTCTCAAAAAGCCCATTTAAAGAGTCACATGCGCACACATACTGGTGAGAAACCATTCAATTGCAGCCATTGCTCTGCATCATTTTCTCAAAAAGCCCATTTAAAGAGTCACATGCGCACCCATACTGGTGAGAAACCATTCAGTTGCAGTCATTGCTCTGCATCATTTTCTAAAAAATCCCATTTAGAAGATCATGTGCGCACACACACTGGTGAGAAACCATTCAGTTGCAGTGATTGCTCTGCATCATTTTCCATAAAATCCGCTTTAATTAGACATGTGCGCACACACACTGGTGAGAAACCATTCAGTTGCAGTCATTGCTCCTCATCTTTTACTCAAAAGTCATATTTAAAGATTCATATGCGTGTACATACCGGTGAGAAACCATTCAGTTGCAGTCATTGCTCCTCATCTTTTACTGAAAAGTCATCTTTAAAGAGTCATGTGCTCACCCATACTGGTGAGAAACCCTTCAGTTGCAGTCATTGCTCCTCATCTTTTACTAGAAAGTGCTCTTTAAAGATTCATATGCGTGTACATACCGGTGAGAAACCATTCAGTTGCAGCCATTGCTCTGCATCATTTTCTAAAAAATCCCATTTAGAAGATCATGTGCGCACACACACTGGTGAGAAACCATTCAGTTGCAGTGATTGCTCTGCATCATTTTCCCTAAAATCCGCTTTAATTAGACATGTGCGCACACACACTGGTGAGAAACCATTCAGTTGCAGTCATTGCTCTGCATCATTTTCTCAAAAAGCCCATTTAAAGAGTCACATGCGCACACATACTGGTGAGAAACCATTCAGTTGCAGCCATTGCTCTGCATCATTTTCTCAAAGCGCCAATTTAAAGAGTCATGTGCGCACCCATACTGGTGAGAAACCATTCAGTTGCAGTCATTGCTCTGCATCATTTTCCCAAAAATCCGCTTTAATTAGACATGTGCGCACACAAACTGGTGAGAAATTCAGTTGCAGTCATTGCTCTGCATCATTTACTGAAAAATCCAGTTTAAACAGTCACATGCGCACACATACTGGTGAGAAACCATTCAGTTGCAGCCATTGCTCTGCATCATTTTCTCATAAATCCAATTTAAATAGACACGTGCGCACACACTGGTGAGAAATTCAGTTGCATTCATTGCTCCTCATATTTTACTCAAAAGGCATCTTTAAAGAAGCATATGCGCTGCGCATACATAGCGGTGAAAAACATTCAGTTGCAATCATTGCTCTGCACCATCCTGTGATATATCCAATTTAAAGAAACATATGGGCACCCATATCGGCGAGAAACCGTTCAGTTGCAGTCGGTGCTCCTCATCTTTTACTCAAAAGTCATCTTTAAAGAGTCCTATGCGCGTACATATCGGTGAAAAACTATTCAGTTGTAGACATTGCTCTGCATTTTTTGCTGCAAAATCTCATTTAAGGCGGAATATTCGCACACATACCGGTGAGAAACCATTTAGTTGCAGTCATTGCTCAGCATTATTCACTCGAACATCTGATTTAAGGAGGCATTTACATACACACCGTTGAGAAAAATCTAAATTATCGCGTCATATTTGCACACATACTGGTGAGAAACTATTCAGCTTATGCTTTTGCTCTGCATCTTTTACTAATGAATCCCATTTGAAGGAACATATGCGCACAGATACCGGTGAGTTAACCTTCATTTTTCAATCATTATTCTGTATAATTTTCTCATAAATCCGATTTCAAGAGACATACCTGCAACGTGCATACCTACCGGTGAGAAACCATTGAGTTGCAGTCATTGCGCTGCATATCGACGGTGAAACTACCAAACCACGTATCTCGGTTTGCGACGTCGCAGACTTCCTGTCATACTTACATTATTTTTTAAATGAAAAACTACTTAACGTCTAGTCTTGAAAATTTCTGTGATTTTTCCTCTTTGTGCGGAGAAAATTCTGTGAAAATTTCAAGGAATGATATTGATTTGGTCGACTTCAAAAAAATAAAATGCGAGCGTAGATTTTTAAACACCGCAAACGAGATACGTGGTTTGGTAGTTTCACCGTCGATATGTTCCTAGAAAATTCCCTTGAAAGAATCACATGTGCACACATACCGGTGAGAAACCATTCAGACGCAGGGATTGTTTTGCATCCTTTGCTCAAAAATCCAAATGAAAGCGCCATATTCTCAATCATCCCGGCGAGAAACAATTCATTCGCAACTAATACTCTTTATTCTTGACTGAATAATCTGCCTTAAAGAATCACAAGCGCACTCATAACGACGAGAATCAATTTGGTATTTCCAGTCATTTCTCCGAAGAGAAACTTTGAAGAGACATTATTATGCGTACACATACCGGTGAGGAACCATTCAGTTGTAGTCATTGTTCTGTATCCTTTGTCGAAAATTCTAAATGAATGAAACCTATGTGCATACGCACACGCGAGAAACCACTCAGTTGCAAAGAATGGTATATATATATATCTCTTTCTCATAGATCGAATTATACTACACATATGCGCACCCACACCGGTAAGAATTTGGTTAGTTGATAGGTACAATTTCCTTGTATCTTCTATTGACATACCGACATTTAATGGTCATAAAAGCAGACATACTGGTGAGAAACCATTTACATGCATTGATTTATCTGCATCTTCTTGCGATTGAAACATTTGAAAGGGAACAAACAGATTGCATTTTGCAAAAAGGAACCAGGAGCATTGCAATGTTGCTAAGATCATGTAACTTGATCCATTGCAATCTAACTATTGAAATCATGTAAAAATATGAAATATACATGGAAATTTTTGTCTTAAATTTACATTTTTTAGAGAGTAAAATAGGAACTGTTGATAGTTAATCAGGTTTTTCTTCCAAGACAAAAGAAGTCGTACAATCTTAGCAACATTGCAATGCTCTTGGTTCCTTTTTGCAAAATGCAATCCAAATATGCTTATTCATGCCGTTAATACAAAGGCTATTTCGGTTCAATTATCAGTTCCATTAATTGCTTTGCTTCTTTCACTCAAAACTTGCTTTAGGTGGACTTACAAGTATGCAAACTGGTAAGAGCCCCTTACAAGCTTGCTTTAATTGCAAGAGTCCTTAGCGCAAAAATATATATTAAGGCATTATTTTCGAATGCACACCAATGAGAAACCACGCAGATGCAGTTAATTTAGTGTCTCTTTTTCTTTTTAATCCAATTTAAAAGTCTATGTTAAAATACCTTATGGTGAGAAACTGTGTTTATGTAGTCATTGTAGTTCCTGTTTTGTCCTGGATTCTATATTTAAGGAGCATGTTTCTATACGCACACTGGCGAGAAACCTTTAAAGTTCAGTCATTACTTTGCCTGTTTTGATGAAGTTATCACTTTTGTATGTTTTAATTAGATAATTTTCTATTTGTAGGCCTCTACTGAGTGACTCATATTTTCTTTGACCTTGTATTTTACGTTCATTTTCATGTTAAATTTCTGAAAAGATAAATTTTTGACGAAGTAATCACTTTTGTATGTTTTCATTCTTTAATTTTCTATTTATAGGCCTCTATTGAGTGACTTATTTATTCTTTGACCTTGTTTTTTACGTTCCTCTTCATGAAAAATTTTCTAATAACAGAAATTTTAAAGCCTTTGAGGGCCGTCAGTCAAAAATTACAAATAAGACGGGTATGTTTTCACTTCAGATTTGGATTCTGCGCAAAAAGCTACGTAGAATTGTTATGGCTCACGGCCTATTTGCCCAAAATTTTTGTTGCCCCCTTTTCCCTCCAAAAATACACGGCTTTTTAATGGGGAAATGGGGTTAGAAAGTAATTTGGAGAAAATAGGCGGTGCGCCATGTTTATTCTACGTAACTTTTCTAGTAGAATAGACCACTAGACAAGGCACGAATTTAAGCATTCTGATACATGTTTCTTAACCCGAATCTTACGTAAAACACGATTTGCGCAACGAAAATGACTGAAACTAACTCCTAACAAAGATATTAATCTTTTTATTTCACATTGGTTACGCGGATTCTGAACTGCCCACTGACAAGAAACTCAAAGCTCTACGTGAGTCAAATCGCGCACTACAACAGTTTCAGCAAGCCTCTCAATCAAGCGATGTTCATTTCCCACCATGTGCTGTTCAAACTACATATATAAACAACTTGCAATAGCTGAGCCAAAGCGTCAAGATTGAGGTTGTCAGATTTTTATATCGCAGAGACTGTCATGATAACGTTTAGCGCGCGATGTGAATCACGCAGAGCATTGAGTTTTCATGAGCGGGTGGTTTGAATTCACGCATCAAGAATCATTAAATATCTTCGTAAGGAGTTGATTTCGGTAATTTTTGTTGTGCGTATCGTATTTTACGTAAAATTTTGGTTTAAAAACATGTATCAGAATGCTAAAATTCGTACCTTGTCTAGTGGTCCATTCAAATCGGAAGTCAAAACATACCCTAGCTATTTGAAATTTTCGACATCGTGAATGGGTCAGTTGTGTGGGTCACAGAATCGTTTTTGATGCTTGATTCTTGTAGATTAGCTAAAAATTATAAGATTTGTTCAAACTGCAACTTTCTACGTTCAGTACTAACCGTGATATCGCCCTTTGAAATGTCAGGTTTTTGACGTCATCCACCGCGACAGTGACACCCGCCTTGGTTTCTGTCTCTTTTTTCCATCAGCAATGCAGAGAGAGCAACGCGAAACTTTAACACCATTAATCGAAAACAAACTGAGGTGATCTGACGGACCGTTCCAGCCGTTTACTTAATTTTGGCGCCAAAAGAGGGCGTAAAATTACCAATTATAATCCTGAAATTGTATACCCTCTAAAAGACAAAACAGAATTTCAAGGAGCCTCTTCTCAAAGTTATGTTTTTGAACTGAAAAATCCAAACCAGCATAAATCTGGTGCGCTGCGACACGTACTTCTCGGGATTTTGTCCCGAAATCCTCGGTATACTCATTTAATCTATAGAATGAATGACTCAATTTTGAGTATTTTAACAACGGTTTTGGGGGAGTTTTGAGTCCCTTTTTTTTGTCAACGGTCTCATAATGAGTTGTGGCAACAGGAATCTGCCCTGGATATAAAATGAAAATTTTAGGTACCCTCTAAACAAAATTGTGCCGTTCGCTTATAGTTTTGTTCATAATTTTTTGCTCACCTGTAAGCGTGTGAATAAAATCTGGCCAGAGCAGCAAGGTAGAAAATTTTCGCTCAAACATCATCTCTAAACATCCGTCCCCGTCAGGTAAGCAGGTACAATATGTTATTTTTAAGGATGAATTTACATTCATGAGGCATCCATTCATCTTATAATCTTAATCGGAATTTTTTTAATTAATTACACTTTAAACTAATGTAAAAAACTAACTACCACTCTCGTAATTCCACACTTTACGGAGTCATAAACGTTAAGCCATCTTCACTGAAAACAAAAAATCTCGATGCATTTACCAAGAAAAGGGTAAAATTACCAATAATTCAGGGTTCTATTTGATCCTCGTTTTTTTTGGTAACATTACCATTTATGGAATGGGTTATTTAACCGAGAAATCTCGGTAAAATTACTGAACTTTCTCGGTAATTTTACTGAAGCAGTCCGGCAAATCTACCGAGTCATGGTAATCATACCGGGCTGAACCGATTATTGTACCGCGTTCCTGTTAATTTTACTGGAACATCTGAGTAATTTTACCAGAAAGATTCGGTAACTCTACTGACGTCACCCAAAAATTTTCTTGAACACATCCCCCTTCCGCGCCCCAATGGAATTTGCGGAATTGGGCGGCAGGCATAAGCATACCCATAATCCGCCAGTGCGCTCTGGCTGCCATTGCGTGAATAATATTCTTGTAAGTTATTGCTGAAACAGTTTAGGGGAATATCAATGATTTTATTTTCTTTAATTAGTTAGTTATTACACCAGACATATTATTTTCACTAGTAATTAACCCATTTACACTTACCTTAAGGTCCTTTGACGCAGACGAGCGTAAAATCCGCGGAGCCTCCGCAAGGATGCGAACCCGAGCCGTAGCGGTGGTAGACCAGTACATTGTCACTAAGCTATTAGACCACTACACTGAACAAAAATTCTCGGCGTTTTTACCAAGGTCCGTTGGTACCTTTACCAATTCACTTTTTATACCAATTATTGGTAATTTTACCAAGACAGAGTGGTAAGCTTACCTAAAAACCGGTATTTTTACTGTTTTTCTCAGGTAAGAATACCACTTTTGTTGGTAATCAATTCCCGGTAACTTTGTCATTTTATCCCGGTAATTTTACCACAGTCGATAAAAAATATTGACATTTTTACCAAGGTCCAGTAAAATCACCAAGAAAGTTTAACAATTTTACCGAGATTTCTCGGTAAAATTACCAATTCCATAAATGGTTAGGAACTGGGATCAAATAGAAATCTGAATTCTTGGTAATTTTACCCTTTTCTCAGTAAATACACCGAGATTTTTTTTTCAGTGTATATGGCTAATGAGTGCGAATTTAAGCCTCTTAGATCGATCGGCGCTTCGCAAACTCACAACTTCAGTCATTATTGCGTAGACTGACGCCGAGTTTTATTAGACTTTTTTTATTTTCCCTCCTCTGTATTCTTCATGTATTTCATATCTTGAAATACGGTTGGTAAAATAAGGTTCTATTGGTAAGCTTATCATTCCGCCTCGGTATAATTACCAATAATTGGTAACAATAGTGAGATGGCAAAGTTACCGATGGACCTCGGTTAAAACGCCAAGATTTTTTATCGACCGTGGTCGAATTACCGAGATAAAATGG